TGGTTTTTTTTTTCCTTTTTTAAAAGATTTTATTTGTATTTATAGATATCAATTAGAATTTTGTCTTTAAAGTTCCCATTTAATTAAGATGAAATATAACCCCTTATACTCATTAAGCTTACTAAACTACTGATTTGGAAAATGCTCTTTAATGTGGTATTTTCATTAATTAAGCTCTAATTTCCCCTCTCCCACCTTTTTTTAGGCTCGCTGTCATGCTTCTCAGGTCTTAACATCAGAGAAGATTCCTTAAAGGATGCCTTTATTACCTCTTCTGGTATCTCCTGGATGCAAAATGTTAAATTTCTGGATTGTGACCCTAACTCAAAAATTTCTAGACTTTAACTGTGTCCCCATAAATGTCCCCCCCCATAAAGGGGGCTTTGGAGAAGCACAATACTAGAGTGAACCTGTGGTTTTGATCTTCAAGTCAAAACTGTGCCCTTCTCATGCATATGTAACTCTGAAGTATTACAGTTCTTGTCTTAATGCTGGATGCAAAATGTTAACTTTCTGGACTGTGACCCTAACTCAAAAGTCTCTAGACTTTAACTGTGTCCCCATAAATGTTTGGGGGCTTTGGAGAAGCACAATACTAGAGTAAACCTGTAGTTTTGATCTTCAAGTCAAAACCGTCCCCTTCTCATGAATCTGTAACTCTGAAGTATTACAGTTCTTGTCTTACTAGAAAATTTGCTATTTTCTAAGTTGCTTAAATTACAAAGCAACACCTACCATCCCGTAGCAAACTATGCACCATGGTTAACTGTCAATAAGCAGTGGCTAGAGATACTATGGAACTACTTTATTGTAATGCCTCTCTAAATATATTTATGCTGACTCTGTGGCCAGTGCTCTATTTCTTACAAAATTTCATCAACAAATATCTGTTATGACTCAGCAAATTCTCCTGTAACTATTTGCAAAGTACAGAAGACAGTTCAGTGATTTCACGTGATATAGTCTGTTCCACCAGGGATTAGTTTACTACTGAACTTCTTTTCAGTTAGCTGGCTTCTCTAAATGTATCACTTGTAAACATGAATGTGTGTTTATGAGGTGGATCAGTGTTAGCATTGGCTGTGAGGTCTAAGATAGTGGTGTCCAAAGCAGTGTATGTGCTCTAGGCGCTGCACAAGACAATCCATTGGGGCATAGGAAGAAAATATTTTGTACAATGAATAAATAAAAATATTTTTTAAAGTTTTTATTTCGTCCTTTTCTTTAATTTCTATTTTTGTGTATGTTTTATAATGTTGTAAGAGATTGGTAAAAAATAATAATACACTAGAACTTTGTTAAAAATATGCCTCAAACAACTCTGAAGGCATGTAAGCAAATAAAGGCAGGTTCCTGTACCAACCCTCCCACCTTGATAACTAAGGGGACTGATAAGAAGAATGAAAAGGGAGACCTAGGGGGAAGGGGAGTTGCTGATAAGGAACAAGCTCTGTCCTGTCTCCAGCCTCCAATTTCTGCCCTGATGCAATCATGACTGCTGATTGTGATGGCCTGAAGGAGGTGATTGTGCATCTAGTAAATGACAAAAGAGAACTTCTATGGGGTCTGCCAATCACCAGGGACCCCCAAGCCTATTTCCAGAACCTTGTGGAAGGACTGACCAGGCCTATTTCCAGAACCATATGGAGGGACTGGCTAGGCCTGCATGCATATGCTAATCACCTCCACCCACTGGGAAGGCCCTTAAGAACTGGAGCAAATAAAAGGTGACAAATTTGACCATTGAGTGGGCCCCCCACCATTCTGGGTCCATGACACAGAAGAAAAGAAGACAACTCTGTCGCCATCAGGAAGGAATAGAAGAAGAATCTTTGTTGCTTGTTGCTGCAACACAGGGTGTTGAGACTTTATTCCATCTCCTCTCTTTCTAGCTTTTCTCTTCCACCTTAAGTGAGCAAGGAAAGTGCTCACTTAAACATTGTAATACACAGACCTTTGTTCAATGAAGAAAAGTTCTTTCACATATCTGTTTGCTTCGCGTGGCTACACCTTTATTTGCTTCTCAGGAATTCAGAACCTGTGTCAAACCAGAGGTTCTCAAACTTGTTCCTGACAAATGTATTTCACTTAGGTCTTGAAGGCATCTCAAAAGGATGTTTGATCTGAATGTTGACTGGGGGCTCTGTTGTGCAGGGTTAGTGCCATTTATGACACTGGAGCTACCTGCTGAGACAAGTGTCTTGGGCGTTTGAGGCACGCTATCGTATCTAAGACATGCTGCCGTGGCTGAATATAAGAGTCATGCCTCTCCAGCAGGAGAGCTGCAGGCTGGGAAGGATGGTCGAATATATTGCAAACAGCACTAGATGCCTTTGTTTAAGCGACTGACTCATGCCATGGCATCCATTTGCTGTAACTAGAGCTTAGATACTTCTCTTTCATTTAGACTCTCTTGCATGTTGACACCTAGATGTAGGTGTAGGAGTTTTACCATTAATGTTTCTCTCGTGTTTAATCTGCTCTGGCAATAAGAACTAGGAGTTCTTGGAAGCAGTGAAACACATGAATGTAAAGATATTGCAACACATAAATCAATATTTTTTTCTGAAACATGCATGAAAGTAAAAAAAATTAATTATGAAAACACATTAGTTAGAAGTGGCCTATAACTTCTGAAAGGGCTAAATATTTAGGACACTGGATGGGCTGAGACTAGGGACAGAGTTCCTTGGAACAGGGGAACCATCAGCTCCCACACTAGCCCTGGTCTGTGTAGGCACATGTTTGTCTGCCATGTGAAGTTTTGCAGCCGTGTGATCATTTAACCTCTCACGGACACACTTCAGTCTCTTCTGCACTGTTCCCTCTCCTCCCCTGTGACTGGGACTGAGTCTGCTCCTGGCTAAGGCTCTGCCAATTCCAGGCTGAACATGTTCTTTACCAGTGTGACACTTCACCCAGATGTGTGAGCCTAAGAAGCAGGAATTGCGGCTCAGCCCCAGCACTTCACTTACGTGTTCAGTCTGGGTTGTGGGCAAGCAGAAGAGTGGGAGTCTCACTTGACCTAGCTGAAGATGCCTTTGCAACAGTGATTCCTGGCATCACCTGGACAGTGACCAACCATTTGAGATGCTTGATTCCTTATCTCCTTATTCAGGTGTAAGCCTGACTTTATGCTAAGATCCCAATAAATTCTGTTGTGTTTGGGTTTTTGTTGTGGGGTTTTTTATTTGTTTGGGTTTTTTTAACAAGCACTCTGGTAGTGTCAGAGCAACAGAAGGCTAATTACAGATTTATTCAGGTCAAGTTCCTGGTGTCTCACTTGTTTCAGCTTGATTCCAGGAATGCTATGTAAAGGTCTGACCAACCAAGGTAATCATGGTATAGCCTTTTGAGGGAATGGCAACTGGTAGTGGGGTAACCTTTGGCAGGGTAATGGGGTAACTGTTAACCATTAGCTGAGCACCACTGGAAAGAAAGCAGTGGGGTAAGAAAATGTTAAAATAATCCTAATGAGACCCCGGCCTCACAGCCTGAATCACTACAGAAAGTTTGCCCTGAGAGCATGAGTGCATTTGGGCTCAGTGCTAACTACAATAACTGCTTAAGGGATGTTGCCTCTTATTGTCAAGAATCCCTGGGTTCACAGAAGCTGAACATTTTATCTTCTTTGCAAATAGTTGCCTGAGAGAAATGTCAGGACCCTGTTTGGATCTATATCCTGAATATTTGGTTAACCATTTGGGTGAAGAAACTGGTGGTATGTTCCTGAAATTCCAAGAAGGACTTTGATCTGCTTTTCTCTAACCAGGCAGCAGTGCAACGGAAGGAGTAATGTACTTTTGTAATCAGAAGTAAATCACATAGACTTGTCATTGCTGGGGGTCCTAGCCACTTGGGTTCAGCTGCAAACTCTATTTTCTGAAAAAAGTGAAGGAGTGTCTGCAAACCTACACAAAATAGAGCACAAACTGATTACTGAAAGGCTTCCTGAGTCTGCTATACATCGAGTGCTGAAGCAGTTTATTCTTTACATGTGTTGTGGTTTAACCCCAGCCAGCAACTAAGCTCTACACAGCTGCACACTCACTGATCCTCCCGCCTGCTGATGAGATGGGGAGGAGAACTTGACTTGAAAAAACAACACATGGGTTAAGAACAGTTTAATAATTGAAATAAAATAAAAATATTATCAATAATAGTAATGAAAAGGGAGATAACAAAACCAGAGAGAAATAAAACCCTAGGAAAAGAAAAAACAAGTGATGCACAATGCAATTGCTCACCACCTGCTAATCAATGCCCAGCCAGTCCCTGAGCAGCGATTGGCTCCTCCCAGCCAACTCCCCCCAGTTTATATACTGAGCATGATGGCCTATGATATGGAATATCCTTTTGGCTAGATTGGGTCAGCTGTCCTTGCTATGCTTCCCCTCAGCTTCTTGTGCACCTGCTTGCTGGTAGAGCATGGGAAACTGAAAAATTTTTGGCTTAAGTACTACTTAGCAACAACTAAAACATCAGTGTGTTATCAACATTGTTCTCATACTAAATCCAAAATACAACACTGTACTAGGTGCTAGGAAGAAAATTGACTCCGTCTCAGCAGAAAACAGGACAATATGGAGTAAAATAACTCTCAGAAAAGCTTCAGGTGACTATTGTGAAAGTTGCCACTTGGGTTCATCAGAAGCTGTAACTGTTTTACCATGATTTTGAAAATGTGTTCATTTCTTCTTTGGAACAATGTAAAAATTCCCTGTAAATTCAAGATTTTGGGGGTAAAATGTTTCATTCTTTTTTGTCTATTTATATTCAATTTATCTTATATATGACTTGTCCAAATGCTTTTTTAATATACTATAATGTTAAGATCTTTTAGAGATTTTAATGTGAATGTTATTTTGAAGCAAAAAGTGAGTAATCTAATTCTAGCATGCTAGTAATACTCTAGTAATTCTAGTATTTAATTCTAATTTGCATTGCTTTATAGATAAGCATTTTTAGATGAAATGTTACTAATTGAAGATTCTAGTGAAAAATATGGATTTTGGTGACCCCTCGGTTTTTTTCACAGAAACAGTTTAACACTTTCTAATTATTCTCTTGGGCTATATGTCAGTGAATTTCATTGCACCTTCCAGCCCTGAAAGTGATCATTTCCTCTGCACAGACAAGAGCTCACCTGTATGGGGTATTTTCTAGCATATAATTTCAGTGCTGTTCCTCTCCTTTCTACAGGTGGCATGGGCACATCCTAGGAAGTCATGTAGGAGGCACCTGTAGACTGGAGAGAAATGGTGAGTTTTAATTCCATCTCATAGTTATTTCATAATAATTTTCACGTGCAGAGAATGTTCAGACAAC